CTTAATTTAAAAGTAAATATTAAAAAAACACAGTTAAACATCAATTTTTGTGTCATGTGGTATGTTGAATGCAGCACTGATTCAAATTAGATGTTTGTGATCAAAATACTAAGTCTTTAATTTCGTATGAATTAGGAACTCAAATTACCAATATTTACAAGTTAGAATATAAAATAAAAGCCTCATATCTTTTCTATTTGCTGAGATATTGCTCATGTACTGAATGAAACACCATTTTTGGAAACAGTCCCTTATATACCCTTACATCAATATATATGACATATGAATAACCAATCTAAAGCTCAAAATATCCCCCTAGTGGCTTTATCAGCCATTTTAAAGTGTTAGGCTGCCATTTCATTCTTTCAAACCAAGATTTCGAGTAGGTAGGTATTATTTTATTTCATGTCCTCCACAAGTAAAATTCTAAAAGGCTTAGCAATCTACATCAAGCAGTAACCGAGTACAAAGATCGTAACTAGAAGAGATAATTCTTCTCCTATATTTCTTTATTTACTGTTCTATGTTTTAATAAAAATAAGTTTAAGAACTTATCCATATACATATATAATGTATGATAATTGAAATGTGACAGTATTTTACAAAATACTAGTCTACTAAAACACAGCCTAGACAGGTCACTTTGTAAAAACTGAAGGTCAGTTTTATATTATTGGATATGGTTACATGAGAGCACGCATCATTGTAACTTCTGTATTGTTAGCCAGGCACGGCTGAAAGGTCAATAAATAAATATGTATAAATGTATAATTTTATGAGATTCAAGCTATTTAGTGTAAACATTTAGGTTTTCGTGTTATAATTTGTTGTCATTCTAGAACAAAAAAGGCATAAGTTATATTTATTTCCTAATTTTTATGGTGGTTACAAGATTGGTCAAATCTACCAAACCTGTACAGAGATTCGTTATTGAAAATAACAGATAATATATAGTTTTTCTCAAGAAATGTTTAATAACTATCTGTACATTATAAAGATTTCACACATGAAATTTGAAAATTTTCTTATGCATAAAAGTATTTTTAATCTTAAAGTGAAAATTACTTTGTATGTTGGATAGG